GAAGATGTGGTTTATCTATACGATGGAATACTACATGGCAATGAGAAACAATGAAATCTGGCCATGTGTAGCAACATGGATGGACCTTGAGGGTGTTATGCTGAGCGAAATAAGTCAGGCAGAGACGGACAAGTATCATATGTTTGCACGTATAGGAGGATTAGGAGGAACTTGACGGAGGAACAAGGGGGAGAAGAAGGGCGGAAATGGTGGGGGAAAGAGAGAGAGGCAAACCATGAGAGACTCTTGAATGCTGACAAAAACTGAAGACTGATGGATGTGGGGGGGAGGGGGGGATGGGCATGGAGGAGGGCACTTTGGGGATGAGCACTGAGTGTTATGTGGAAACTAATTTGACAATAAACTATTTGTAAAAAAAAAAAAAAAAAAAAAAAAAAAAAAGAGTCCTGTGCTGTATGTACTGAGCCAGCCAGGGGCCCCTGGCAGTCAGTTTTTTAGAATACTGAAAGATCATTAAAATAGCCAGTTGGCCAAGCAAGCTAATGGTACTTGGGAGATTGTGCTGTCTCTGAGAAGAAAATAAATTTGTTTCTCCCTCATTATAGTGTGAAGCTGCCCTTGTAAAAAGGCATGATATATTATTTCTGCTGGGCTTCCATGGAAACCATTAATGTGAGGGAAAACAGTATTACACACCTGGCAAGGAAAGACCATCATGGAGGCAGCTTAGAACAAGTGTTTTTGCCCCTTCTTTTGGCATCAGACTCCTCTCCAAGTAGATCCTTGAACCTGAGAAAATATTTCTCTTTGGAGCTGCCAAAAAAATTATTTGGAAATAAAAAGGAGTGCAACTGCTGGTACAATGGAGTAAAGGGATGATCCCAAGAACCAGTTGCTTTGCCTGCACTCTACAATGCTAATAAAACCTGATATGTAGGCATAAATTTGAATTGGGAATTCTAGTTTATTGAAAATAAATTTTATTTTGGGTGACAAATATTTGAAGAACAGCACCATACTGTGCTTCTGAATATTAAGAACCATTAAGCACCATTCTTCTGAATATTAAGAACAAATTTCTTTTAGCAACTTTTTTTATTAAAAATCTTTTTTTAATGTTTTATTTATTTCTGAGAGAGAGAGAGACAGCATGAGCAGGGGAGGGTCAGAGAGAGGGTGACACAGAATCTGAAACACGCTCCAGGCTCTGAGCTCGTGGGGCTTGAACCCACAGACTGTGAGATCATGACCTAAGCTGAAGTTGGACACTTAACCGACTGAGCCACCCAGGCACCCCAAACTTTAGAAAATATCCAAAACAGAAGAGTCTTTGAGTGGAGCTTTTAACAATAATTTTCCTTAACTACTTATAATAAATGATGAATAATCACAAAAGATCATTTGCAGCATCAAAAGAAAATATGCTCAGATTTCACTTTGACAATTTCAACTTCAGGAAGTATTTCTGAGTAAGCAGTACATAGAGGGTCTGTTTCAGTTGCTTGAGCTGTACATTATGAACAAAACATAAAAATTCCTGCCCTCATTGGAGGCTTTTTAAAATTAGCATAAAGGCCCTTAGTATAAGGCAGGCAGATAGAAATGGACTCTTCCAGGGTCTTTAGATGTGGCATCCATCTGTTGGAATAGAAGCCCATGACCTGGAAAGGACATCAGCCAAGTAAGGAGAAAGAACCATTCACGGCTATAGACAAGACCATGGTTTCCAGTTTATAATGTATTCTACAGAGAGGTGTCCTGTGGTCCTACCTCTGCAAGGGGACAGCAGGTAAAGCCCAAGTGTCCAATCACGGGATTTTGTCACCTGTACTCCCAATGAGTGACTCAGACTACCTGGGTGAATTTATTTCATCCTAATGGGTAGATGATCTTGAACTTAATAACATATCCAATCATAATTCTGAAAGATTATATATAAAAAAGGGTATGAAGGAGAGTATTCTAAATATCTTAAGAAACTAAGAAAGACCATATTACCAATTATTATAAAAACAGTGAACTGTAATCTCTTGATTATTTTCAGGGAATACAGCACTAACTAGATATTATCTACTCTTTTTGCAGATGCATCTTTGCAAGGCCACTGGCAGCTCTAGAGCAATTTAACTGGTGTGTGATGTTCCATTTCTACAGTCGTAGGAGGTATTTTCCTTTTCTTGACTCAAATACTCAATTAAAAATTCAGTATCAGGCTAGAAAGAGAATATTTTGGCTCATATGAGGTATACACTAACCCTGATCCCAAAAGGTGGATATGTTGCTAATATAACAGAATGCAGGGAATAGGTCATGAGCAGCCCTGTGCAATATCTTTACAAATGACAATTCAGTATATGAACACATTTAAAATCATTAGGAAAGGGGTGAATTATCAAATGGTATGTGGAGCACTGGGTATTAATACAAAAGAAAAAATTGTATTCTTAGGTCAAATGACATCAAAGGAAGCACTGGACATATAGAGACCTTAACTTGATGAATATTTTGCTCTATCAGTATGATGATGGGTCCAGCTGGTAGTGCTGGCAATCAGAGTAGTGAAGTCTTACTTAGCAGCTTGATTCCATTCAGTATCAGCATAGAATAGTCACTTACCAAGGGCATCTTGTTTAACAACCCAGATGTGCTCAGCAGCTATGACTTTTCCCCACAGTTCACAGCACCAAAAAGGGGTGCTTTTGTCAGTGTGCAATTTTACTTCCCGTGTGTCAAGCAGCTAGGCATAGTAAGAACCCAAAATAAAAACACCAGAAGTTTCATTAAAGGGAATATCCGCTAGAGTTGAGAACATCCTGGTGTCCTGTCTCTGGAGAAGAGCAGCCACATCAATTTCTGGGTCTGCATTAATGGCAATGAGGTTGACTAGTCACAGTGTCACTAGCCTTTTGTGAACCAGGCCCAATTAGAGTAACCTCTATGAACTGAGGGCCCTACTGAGCCAGTAGCTTTGCTTCACGCAGCACAGTGGGGGATAAATTTCCTCTGTAAAGGATTGCTGCTACGATCTCACGTACAGCTGAGATACTGCTGGGACCAGGACAGCTGTATTCTTAAATATACCATGCGCATTTCACACGAGACCTGAGTACTTTACATCTTGTTAGCCACTTAAGTCCAGGATGACACTCCATAAAATTGGAATATCAAGTCAGAGTCAGGTGTCTAGTGTAAAAGAGACCAATAGTAAGTTAATGGCTGCTTTACAAAAGGAGTATACTTGATAGCTTCATTAGGGTATCAAGTCAAATAACCCTTCTACCCCACCCCAAGGGCATTTCCTTTTGCTAGAAATTCCAATCAACAGAATGACTAGTCAGAGACTTGAAGCCCAAAGTGGTCATTAAGGGCTGTGGGACCTCAAAGGTATCTTCTTTACACACAACTTTTTCTGACTAGGAGAATCCCCTCTGAGTTATGGGAAAAGGAAGTATAAAATGTAACACATTCCTACTATACTTTCAGATTTAGAAGTAACCACAGTATATTGTACTGGCCTAAAGGGCCTTATTTATTCCAAGATCACATTCGTTTCCCTCCCCTACTGTAAACCCTGCCCTAACAACATTTTCTAAATCTAGATACCCACTAACTCCATGGAAATTGATAAGATGTTGACCTGGGCACCAACAGATTCAGAAAAATTTGGGCCCCTTTCCTCCCTACAGTTCCCCAAAATATTTGGGTGGGTATCAATGGCCCCTGGAGACAGGAAAATTTCTCTCCCCTAAAGCAGCTGATATTAGGGTATATGGAGGCATGAGAAAATGTGGAAGGAGAGTGGCTTCATGACATTCAATAAGCCACATTTACTTTGGTTGCATGAGGTATGCTCACATTTCAACCAAAAAATCCTTTCAACATTTTGGTTCATCAAAATCCATTATAGGTGTATCATTTATTTCATTATGTTGAAAGGAGAAGATTTTTTTTTAAATGAAGTCTTGATGATCTTTGACAGACTCCCCCCAACACCAAACCTTTAATAAGCATACCCGCTGGCTGACGTAAGCTTGGCTTACTCAACAGTTTTCTGCCTCCCCAGCAGAGGGATGACTAAATTATGTTAATAAGCAAATAGACCTAAACACTTAAGAGCTCAATAGAGCAAAAGCTTACTTCTTAATCACAAAATGTTCAAATGCTGAGTATGTGAATGAGAATTTTGTTCTATATATTTAGGCACCCTTTTATCTTATAAAAAGCTGTGCCATGTTGAAGCGTGATACCCAAGGTTGTCCTGGGTCATCTCTGTTTTATTCTGACAGCATCCCAGTAGTTTGTCAGAACTGGATGTGGCATACAACATGAACATCCATGGTCCACCAGCCAGTCCCAAAGCCCTACTTGGAAGAAAGGGAGACCAGACAATTCTGTGTGAGTTATCTACAAGGCATGGCTTCTTTCAAGAGAGCTTTCCATAGTCCTTTGAAAGAAGTATCAGCCTGTGTGCATTCTCTGATAAACATTCAAGGTTGCGTTTTGGATAAAAGTCTTCCTACATTCAGATGTATGTGGTTCCTCTCCTGTGTGGATTTTCTGGAGTCAAATGGCTTGGTCTTTCAGCCACAACGATTTTCCACAGTTATTTTATCAGCAGGATTTCTCCCCTCCCGGAATTCTCTGGCAAATATTCAGTGTTGACTTCTTACACAATTTTCCAAATTCATTACATTCATAAGATTTCTCACCACTGTGAATTCTCTGATGTATTCTGAGGTTTGATTTCTGGCCAAAAGGTTTCCCACACTTATTACACTGAAAAGGTTTCTCCCCTGTATGAATTCTCTGATGATCACTAAGAATTGCCTTCCGGACAAATTTTTTCCCACATTCATTACATCTAAATGGTTTCTCCCCAGTATGAATTCTCTGATGCACTCTAAGGGTCGATGTACGAGCAAAAGTTTTCCCACATACATTACATTTAAAAGGTTTCTCTCCTGTGTGTGTTTTCTGATGTTGAATGAGATGGTCTTTTCGCCAGAATGATTTTTCACATTCGTTACACTGATATGTTTTCTCACCACTATGCGTTCTCTGATGTATTCTGAGGTTTGATTTCTGACCAAAAGTTTTCCCACATTCATTACACTGAAAGGATTTCTCTCCTGTGTGAATTCTGTGATGATCTCTGAGGGTTGACTTTTGAACAAAAGTTTTCCCACATTCACTACATTTATAAGGTTTCTCTCCTGTATGAATTCTCTGATGTCCCCTGAGGGTTGACTTCTGGACAAATGTTTTCCCACATTCATTACACTTATAGGGTTTCTCTGCTGTGTGAATTCTCTGATGTGTACTGAGGTGTGACTTCTGGGAGAAGGTTTTCCCACATTCATTACATTCAAATGGTTTCTCTCCTGTGTGAGTTCTCTGATGCTGAATGAGGTGTCCTTTTTGAAGGAAAGATTTACCACATTCATTACATTTATAGGGTTTAACCTCAGAGTGACTTCGCTGGCATACTTTGTGGACTGATATCTGGTAGGATTTCTTATCTTCAAGAGAGTCAAAGGATTTACCCCCAGTTTGTGTTCTGTTATTACATACTAATGGGTTCTCTTCTGTGACAGTTCTCCAAGGTTGAGTAAAGTATGACTTCCTGTTGAAATTATTCCCATCTGCATTACATTCATCATGTTTCAGAGACATGTTGAATTTATTGTATTCCTTAATAGCTGGCTTCTCACAGAAAGATTTCCCCCTGTGGTTAAGATGAGGGTGTTTCACTCCTGTCTCAGTTCTTTTATAGTTAAAGACTGTTGGTTTTTCATTTTTTCTCCTAAATTCATTTTGATAGGATTCTTCTCTTGTGTGAATATTCTTATGAGTAACACAGGCAGCCTCATCATAGATGGTTTTTCCAACTTCATTATATTTAAAAGCTTGCTCCAATGTTTGACACTTTTGACTCTCAGGAAAATTTTCCTTACAACTGACAGCTTCCCCACTTCTATTATATTCATATAACTTCTCTCCAGTATGAGTTCTCTCAAACTTAATTTTGAAAGAAAAATTTTCACATACACTACAGCAATCTGATTTTTTTGTTGAATGGCTTCTATTATTAATGATAAATTGGGGAATATTTTGCAAGTTTACTCCCCATGAGTCATATTTACAGGACATTTTTGTTGAAATAGGAGCTACGTGCAGATTAAACTGTTTTCCCAAAATTTCCTCTTCCTTCCCAGTCAATGGTTTATTATCGATGGATATTACTTTCTGAAAGTGGTTGTCTTTGATTTTCTTGTTCCTCTTGATCAGGTCATCATCTCTGTAGTCTTCTAAAATGGAGAGAAATTGAAAACATCTTATGAATCTTACATTTCTTATGGCTGGGACAAAAACATATAGCCTATATTGTATTTTAGTTTTTGTTTTTTTTCAAGATTAAATAATTTATCTGTGTGTATATCTTCACCCTCCTTTAAAAAACAAGATTAATACAGTGACAATTATGAAACTGGTAATAAATGTATACTGTATTTGGACTGTGATAAATTGGATTTTCCTGCCAGGGTAGAGAATGAATAGCAATTGAATTGACTTTTACAGGAGTAGTTATTTTAGGCAGCAGGAAAACCAGATAATGGGATGAACCCAACTGGACTATATAAACTTAAATACAGTAACAAAAAAACTTGGGAGATAATGAGCACTGATCAGCTAGGCCCAACTGAAGAGTTTGCTTTGAGGAAGTATATTATAGTCCTCCACTATCTAGAAACCATACTGGAAGAGTACTCAAGAGTCTTTACTTCCCATTTGATTATCTCTTATTTCCATTAAATCCTTCAACATCAAATTAAAATTGATAGTACAAGTTTCCTCATGATTAAATGAAGAAGTTTATAGTTTGGGATCTAACCCATCTTATGAGTCACAGAAATACAATCACATGTAAAAGATGAAAGGAAAATCCATTCTTGCAACTAAATTAGATTCACTGCTCAACTCCTGCTGTGGTACCTTTGATTTATCAAAGTTGAGTAAGTGAACTGATCACCTCATCCTAATTTTCCACATTTTAATTTGATGTGAGGGGTGTATTTTATATATGTATGCATGTATGCAAGCTCTATGCCCAGTGTGGGGCTTGAACTCAAGATCCTGAGATCAAGAGTCACATACTCTATTGACTGAACCAGTAAGGTGCTCTAAGGGGTGCAGTTTTAAATGGGGTATCATGGAAGGCCTTACTGCAAAGATGGCACTTAAGAAAGGTCCAAATCATTTATGAATTCTAGATGTCCATCCTTTGAAGCATTTATGAGTTGTAAATATCATCTGCTATTTTAGGCTCATCTCTTCACTCAAGTATGAAACATAATTTATATCTGCATAAAACTTATATGTGCAATTTAACAGTACAGAGCGAACACTGGTGTAATTAGAAACCATGTCAAGAAACAGAACCCAAAATGGCTCTGCAAAAATCCCTATTTATCTCTGCCCAGTTACAACTTCTTCATGTTTAAGAGTTCATACTCCCCTAATATTTATATAATTGTTTCCTTGGTTTTCTTTGTAGTTTTACCACCAAAAAATATATTCCTAAAAATGTAATTGTTTTGCATTTCTGACATTTACATAAATGTAATCAACAGGCATACTTATATTGTTTGCTTTCTTTTGCTTAATATTATATAGCTAATTATCCCTTAAGGAATACAACTATTTTTTCATTCTACTGCTGATGCACCCAATTTAAAACAAGAACAAACAATATTGCCACAAATATTGTTTTATTTATCCTAGAGAAATACAATCATGCCTTTTTGTATGTTATACAGTTAGGAAAGGAATTCCTTGGTTAAAAGTTATGTAGAACTTTAACCTGGTTTGATAACATCCTCCTGATAACACAGTGGTTTTACCAATTTACATTTTCCATCAGTGAGTAAGATTCTTTAATATTTCACATCCTCATTGGGACTTGGCTTTGCCAGAATTTTTAATGTCACTTCGTACATCTCTCATCTCACTTTATATTTTATTTTGCACTCCATGAAAGATAATGAGAGACTGAACACATTTTCAAAGATTTAATGGCCATTTGAAATTTCCTGTTCAGTCTTTCACTTATTTTTTAGTTGGGCTGCCACCTTTTCCTATGTTGACTTATGGAAGTTTTTACATTTTCAGGATGCTTATCCTTTCTTTAAAAAAATTTTTTTTAATGTTTTATTTATTTCCGAGAGAGAGAGACACACACACACACACACAGCATGAGCAGGGGAGGGTCAGAGAGAGAGGGAGACACAGAATCTGAAACAGGCTCCAGGCTCTGAGCTAGCTGTCAGCACAGAGCCCAACACAGGGCTTGAACCCACGAACCGTGAGATTATGACCTGAGCCGAAGTCGGACACTTAACTGACTGAGCCACCCAGGTGCCCCATCAGGATGCTTATCCTTTCTAGGTTACTTGTACTATATACATATTCTGCTACTCTGTAGCTTGTCTTCTCATCCTTTTAGTGGTATCTTTTATAAACAAAGGTCTCAATTTTAATGTAGTCAAGTTTATTAATCATTTTCTTTTGATTGATGCTTTTTGCACCTTTGAGCCTAAAAGAAAAGTCTTGAAATATAAAGGTTTTTATCACCAAACTGACTTTCTAGAGTCTAACCACCTCTACAGAATTCTATCTGCTAGTGCTCAGTCACTCACCTCGGTGGCTCTGGTTTGAGAATTCTTCCTCTAAGAACCAAGGCTCCTCTCCTTGCTCCAATTTGAAGATTACTGCTGGTTTGGAAATGCAGTTGCCTGTAAACAGGGAACAGTGGGATACTTAGGATGGATGATGAGCTTTTTAGTCTCCAAAAGTGTAAAAAGATACAGCTTCAGGAGCTGCATCCTGAAGATCCTGGTTTGGATTTATCATGGAGAGTTGACAAAACACTTCTATTATCTCCAAAAGGGCATAGCTACTAATTTCATATTCCTGAATGAAATGCCTAAATTAACATTAAAATCTGAATAAAGTATTCATGTGTATTGGTGCATAAAAGGAAATACCTTCTATATGGTGTGACGAGGGTAAGTTATATTTATACGCTCACCCACTGAAACCAGGTTGTTGTAGTTCTCCAGCATCACATCTCTATACAGGGTCCTCTGAATAGGACCCATTTGCTGCCACTCCTCCTGGGTGAATTCCACAGTCACATCCTTGAATGACACTGATGCCTGCAACAGTACATTTCTGCTCAATCTGAGGGTTCATAATTAGGTGACAAAGAAAATACCCTTAAAACAATTCTTATGTTTACTGTAAAGAGTTTAAAATAAATATAAAGGATGCGTATTTTGAATCGAATTTTAACTTTAATATTTTGAAAAAAATTTTTTTAAAATATTTTATTTATTTCTGAGAGAAAGAGAGAGAGACAGCATGAGCAGGGGAGGGTCAGAGAGAGGGTGACACAGAATCCGAAACAGGCTCCAGGCTCTGAGCTAGCTGTCAGCACAGAGCCCGATGTGGGGCTTGAACCCACGAACTGTGAGATCATGACCTGAGTGGAAGTCAGACCCTTAACCGACTGAGGTACCCAGGCACCCCTTAACTTTAATTTTTGAAATGTTTATTTATTTTGAGAGATAGCGAGAGAAATGGAGGGGCTCAAAGAGAAGGAGAGAGAGAATCCCAAGCAGGGTCCATGCTGTCCGCACAGAGCCTGATGTGGGACTCGAACCCACCAACTGTGAGATTGTGACCTGAGCTGAAATCAAGAGTCGAATGCTTAACGTCAGTTAAGCCACCCAGGCACCATGATAATTTTATTTTGGAGCTACTCAACTAGTAAAATGTTCAAGAGTTGATGCTCAACTGACTGAGCCAGCCAGGAACCCACAACTTCATTTTTATATTTTTAAGAGTTCTACACATGAACTATCAATAAGTATATTAGTAAAACTTTTGTTTTAAAATTCTTTTAAGCATAAATGATAAATTTCCTCCAATTTTTATCCCACATCCTAAATATACTACCCTGGGTATATTCTAGGGTAGGGGGTCAGCTAATTATGACCAGCTTGCCACTTTTTTAATAAATAAAGTTTTTATTGCAACATAACCACACACACCCAATCATTCTGTACTCTTCATGGTAACTTTTATGCTGTAACAGCAGAGCCTAGTAGTTCCATCAGATACCTGAGGACTATAAAAAGTGAAAACATTTACTATCTGACCCATTACAGACAAAATTTGCCAACCACTGGGCTAACCCAATCCAATTAAAGATTAACAATTAATAGAGAGGGATATATGTAGATTGAAAATAACAAAATGGAAAAAATATACATAAGAAAGTATGATAAAACATAATGAATAACAATTTATGATCCTTTTAACAGAAGATATGAAAATCATAAATTGGTATGCATTTGAAAGCACAGCTTCCAAATACAATCTTATTCATTGATTCTATCTGCAAATTCACCTCACTAAAATTTACTTCTAACCTCAATACTTTTGATTTTGCAGGATTTATGGACACTTGAAGAATGGTTAAAAATATTTGAGCGCTCAGCCCATGTTTTCCCAGCTGGAACTAAAGATAATGCTTTGACAAAAAAATTTTTTGCAGTCTATTTAGCACATTCTTAGCATTTTTGTGCTTTTTCTTGGTGTTTTCACTTTTTAAAATGCTCCGCCACCCCTGTGTAATGCAGAAATGTTGTCTAGTGTTCCCGAGTGCAAGAAGTATGTGATATGCCTTAGAGAGAAACCAAATGTGTTAGATAAACTTTGAGAATTAATTATGATGCTGATGGCTGTTAGTTCCTGCTAATGAATCAACACTATATTAAATATGGTATTTTTAAACAGAAACACACATAAAATAAGACTGTATGTTGAATGGTTGACCAAAATGTTGTGACTGGACACTCACTGGAACTTAACCCTATACTTCCCCTTAGGAGAATGATGCAGTATTTGCTAATTCAGTGCTCATAATGATTCTATAGAAAATAACCACTGAGAATAGTGAGAATCAATTACGTATAAACAAAAGTTAACAGAAATGATATAGAGGGATCCGTAATTACAATTGGTGATTTTAACACAACTCTCAACTCACAGGAGAAGCAGAAAATAACAACAATAACAACAGAGATTTAGAAAGGGATCAGCAACAGCCAAGAGGAAAAATCTGGCCCACTGTTTTTTTTTCTTTTTTTTTTTTAAATTTTAATGTTTATTTATTTTTGAGAGAGAGAGACAGAGACAGAGAGACAGAGAGAGAGAGAGCGCGCATGAGCAGGGGAGGGGCGAAGGGAAAGGGAGACACAAAATCTGAAGCAGGCTCCAGGCTCTTGAGCCATCAGCATAGAGCCCAATGCAAGGCTTAAACTTGCAAATTCTGAGATCATGGCCTGAGCTGAAGTTGGACACTTAACTGACTGAGCCACCCAGGTGCCCCTGTTTTCGTTTTGTAAATAAAAATTTATTGGAACACAGTCATGTTCATTTGTTATGTTATCTATGGCTGCTAGAGCACTACAACTGTAGAGTTCAGTATTTTGAGAGACCCTGTCTCACACAAAGCCTACTATGTGACATTTACATATAAAATTTGTTGACCACTCACACAGAAGATTTACATGACATAAATAACAAATTTGAGTAACTGAAACATATAGGATAACCTAATCATAACAAAATATTTCCTGGTGCATTTTGCATATTAAAAACAGGAAGTATCACCAAATTAGAAAAGATTACAAACATACAGTTTGGCTTTGGCTTTTAGTTCAGAGATACAGAGAGCTGAAAAGAGCAGTATTAACATCCTTACAACAAGAACAAGCTGGGCAGACTGAAAATTAAGGTATTTTAAAAAATTCATCAGAGAAGTGAAATTGCATAACAAACAATTTGAAATGAGGAGAGAGATAGGCACCAGTAGGAAGAATCAGAGCCCAACTGTTTGCTTACTGGACCTTATGCAACCAAACTTCACATAAAATAATAGGAAGATAAAGGGAGAGAAAATTTAACTGCTAAAGACCCATGTGCACAAAGTTGAAGTGTGAAGTCCCTAGGGAGGTGGTGTGTGTCACAGACATAGTGTGATTTGTGAGAGTTTCTCCAGGAACCCAGTATGTCACAGAGAGGACTGCAGGAGAATTAAGAGGAAGTCCCTTTCTGCCCCATGTGATGCTGGCAAGTATAGGGGGAAAACAATTACTGTTTAAATCCACTCACATCCATACTGCTTATTTCCACTACAGAACACTTAATCTGTAAGGGAAAAGTCAAAAAAACACATACCTTGAGGCCACTGATGGTATCTTTTTGCAGTAAGGGGAGAGCAATGGCAGACACTACCAAAATGTTGCCCAGACCCATTTGCCCTATTTTTCCTAAGTAATAAAACGGTGAGATGCAAGTTCTTAGGGCCTAAGACTGAGGTTAAATTAGAAGATAAGCCCCACTTCCAGAGAACTGTCATTATTTGACCTGTTTGGTACCCCCCTGGAACAGTTCATTCATAAGGCTATTTTCATTTGACATGACTCAAAGCTCACGGACTGCAAATAGCATTTTCTCTGAGGATATGACATTAGTTAATGAAAAAAAAGGGGATATTGTTTACCATCGTGGCTACTTCAGGCAGTTTATAACAATTAAGGGAAACAACAGTCTAATTAAAAAGCTTAAAGGGAAAAGCTGGAGCATGATATATCCAGAAGGGGCTTTGAAAAGCTCAGACATATCTCTGGGAATCTAGAAGGTGGCACACATGCTCTGGGCTATGTGCATATTCAGGAAATACCTGAGAAGGTACTAAATTTGCCTCTCATTAACCTTGACAGTCTGTGAAAGAAAAGTAAAGGTGAATACAAGAGAGTAAAATACCAGGCTAACTGTTGAAGGCATGCCCCAACATACAGAGCATGTTGGCAAAGACTGGAGCCTTACTTGTTACAAATATTTAAGGAAATCATTGTCCAATTACTAGCTGATATTTAGCTAATGGAGTGGAGACTTCAGTGACCACATATGACAAAGAATATAGGTTGTACATATTCTGTTCAACAGAGTCACTAATCAAAACAGCAGTGGTTGGTGATATTCTAGTGATATATATACATATATATTTTAAGATTTTACTTATTTATATACTTTTAAAGGTTTTATTTATTTATTTTGAGAGAGAGTGCACATGTAAGCAGGGAAGGGGGAAACAGAGAGAGAGAGAGGGAGAGAATTCCAAACAGGCTCCATGCTGTCAGTGCAGAACCTGACACAGGGCTTGATGCCACAAATCATGAGACCATAACCTGAGATAAAATCATTATTTGGATGTTTAACCAACTGAGCCACCCAGGCACTCCTAAGATTTTATTTTTTAAGTACTCCCTCAATCTAACGTGGAGCTCTAACTCACAACCTCAAGATCAAGAATCCCATGGTCCACTGAGACATCTTGGCACCCTGGCACATTATATATTAAATGTCAAGTTTTCAACAAAAATTTGAGACCTACAAATGAAAAACTATGGCTCATACACAGAAAAAAAAAAAAACCTAACCTATGTATGAAACATATATACAGGCAGAGTGTAAAACTTGCCTCTGAGGAAGTCCAGACATTGGACTTACTAGACAAAGACTTTTAATAAACTGTTTTAAATATATGCAATAACTAAAGAAAACCACATCTAAAGAACCAAAAGAAAGTATGGTAAGGAAGTCTCATGAAATAAGTAATACAAATAGACAGAAATAATACATATGTAATGAAAAAGTAAACTAAAATTCTGAAATTATAGGATTTGAAAATTTGAAACATGAAAGTAAAATAATTGAAGTGAAAAATTCCCTAGAGGTCTTAAAGGGAGATCTGAGAATGCAGAAGAATCAGCCAATTTGAATATAAACCTGCTGAACTGATACAATATGAAGACAGAAAGTAAAAATAGGGAATGAACAAGAAGCCTGTTTTTGTGGGACCTATAGGACACAATCAAACATTTAAACATAGCAACACCCACACAAGAGAAGTCAAAGGAGAGAGTACAAAGGGGCAGAAAAACAAAGAGTAAATCTTGAAAGCAGCAAAAGGGAAGTTTTTATCACGTCTAAAGACTCCCAAATAAGATTACCAGTTGATATGTCATCAGAAACCAGAGACACCAGAAGACAGTAGTGTGACACATTTAAAGTCCTGAAAGGA